CATTTAAGACTTACCAATGTTTACACAACTATAGTGACCAAAATTACAGTCAACACCGCAGAGATGACAAATGCCACTGCTACAGTCACCATTAAATCACAACCTAAAAGAGAAATATTAGAGGCCTATTATGAACCACATTATACTAAAATTACATTATGTCATACAATACATGTTTTTAAAAATAAAATAAATATGCAGAAAATCTCCAAACTTACCCTCATTTTCATAGCAGGCAGAGCTTGATAAATTGGCGATGAGCGGTTTGTCTAAGGATGAGTGGTTTACCCAGCAGAAGTAGACTGTGTTGTTGATTTGTGGTGGCAGTATAAGGTATGATTCATGACTGAATGATTTATTTGAGTGTGAGCTGTTGAAGAATTCTCCATCTCTGATCCACAACAGTTCAAGTGAATCATTGTGAAATCCTACAGAGCACAGAATCATAGAAGATCCGTCAGGCATCTTCTCACAGGACAGAGACAAGACGGGACGCACTGCAAATAGTAGAAGCTTTCAAAAACAGTTCAATAAGAAATTTAAATTTCTGATGGCAACTTAATTATTTACCAATAACTTGGACTTGTGTTATTCCCAGATCCATGTCTGGTGGTGGTATAGTCCTCATCACTGTACAGGTGTATGTGTTTTTATCCTGAAGATTTAAGAGCTCAAATGAGATTTCCTCAGTCTCTGGAGTCCAGTTAAACTTGACGTGATCTCTGCAGTTCTGTTGTTTCCATGAACTCCCATTAAAGCGAAGTGAACAGAGAGTATGATTTAATGTCTGAATAGTCACTGCCATCAATTCTGTCTCATCTGTTCGACTGTAGTTGCAGTTGATTCTTGCCGACTGCCCATAATTGACAAATAAGGTTGTAGAGCGAATCATTGCCGCATTGGCAAAATCTAAAAAACAAGAGAAGTGACAAGTTGAATTTGTTACAAATTGTGAATTACACTTTTAAATAATTAATTATATGCATTATTCATAAATGTTTCTCAGATATTGAACATTTAACATTACCATAAGCTGAAGACAGGAGCATCCAACAACAGATTAAAAAGAAATACTGCCAAAAATAAACATCAGTTAAACACAAAGAAAAAAGACAAAGAAAAATGTGACGATAACTTTTGTTCAAATATATACAGTGTAATAATTAAGAATTATTAAACAAACTTGCAAGTTGAATTATATATATATATATATATATATATATATATATATATATATATATATATATATATATATATATATATATATATATATATATATATATATATATATATATATATATATATATATATATATATATATATATATATATATATATATATATATGGTTATATTGATAATTTATTTTTGATTAAAGCATTAAATACAGTTAACAAACAAGACTTTACTTATTGTATTGTACTATCATAGTTCTTAAATATCTTAAAAGTAACAAGAGAAACACTCACCATTCGTCTTTCAAGTGAAAGCGTGCGCATGTCCTGCTTTGTCTTATGCTATGAAACTGAATGAAGTCGAGGTGCTCATTTCCTCTTTAAGTAAAGTAAAATGTAGGAGTTGTAGACAATGAAAATCACATACAGTTCTGTATTCATTCAGTACCATGTTGACAGAAACATTCAGACTCATAGATGACAGACTCATGTGCTGCAGTCAGTGGTTGTACAATTTAAACTAAATTAAAAAGAAAAGTTAATTCCATAATATTAAATCCAAGACAGTTTTTTTGCTATTCCAACCCCTAATAGACTCACAAGTAGAGGAATGTTTATTATATTCAATCAGTCTATTCAACCAGGATTTCTAAACTAGTGTAATGATGTATATATCAATTAAATCTTCCATGAGATCTATAGACTATACAGGGAGGCTGAGGAGTGTGATCCCCCGATAGTTGGAGCACAATCTCCAGTCCCCCTTATTGGATATGGGAACCACCACCCCAGCTGTCCAGTCCAGAGGCTCTGTCCCTGACTTCCATGCGATATTGTAGAGGCGTGTCAGCCAAGACAGCCCCACAATATCTAGAGGCCTAAGATACACAGGATGAATCTCATCAACCCCCGCTGCTTTGCCACTGCGGAGCTTGCAAACTACCTCAGTGACCTCAGCTTGGGTTATGGTGGAGTGTACCCCTGCATCCCCAGTCTCTGCTTCCTTAATGGAAAAACATGTCAGTGGGGTTAAGGGGATCCTTAAAGTATTCCTTCCAGCGTCCGACAACACCCCTAGTAGAAGTAAACAGCTCCCCTTTTTTGCTTTAAACAGTCTCAGTGTGGACATGCTTTCCCTTACCGAGGCACTGGACAGCTTGCCAGAATCTCTTTGGGGGCAACCAATAGTCTTCCTTCATTGTCTCCCCGAACTCCTTCAAGAGTTTTTGCATCTGCAACCGCCCCAGCTACAGCAGGCTTGGCCTGTCGGTACCCATCAGCTGCCTCGGGAGTCCTATGTTATGTATAATATTAATGAAATTGTTTAACCATTAAAATGTGATTTTATGAGTTCAGATGACCATTTGTTGAATGGTCACATTCAGTTTATTTGTTATTTTAAAGAATTTTTACAATATAATCTGTTTAATAAGAACAGATGAAAAATGTGGCCGTGTTTACTGTATGCTTATTTTGTAAATTCATTTATTCATTCATTCATTTATTCATTCATTCATTTTCTTGTTGGCTTAGTCCCTTTATTAATCTGGGGTCACCACAGCGGAATGAACCGCCAACTCATCCAGCACGTTTTTATGCAGCAGATGCCCTTCCAGCCGCAACCCATCTCTGGGAAATATTTTGTTTTATTAAGATTTTTTTTTTTTTTGAGACAATGGGGAATAAACAATTCAGTAAAGTTGGTTTAGCAATGTTAGTTTACCAATATACATTTTTAAATTGGGTGGAACCAAAAAAGCATGCTACAACAATTAAAAATATTTAATTGGGCCAATACTAAGATTGGGCAAACTTTATGGTTTTTCAGTTGACTCATTACTTCATGCAACAGACTGTTACTCAATTGAAAAAACAGTTTGCAGAATTTCATTTAAGCAAATTAAAAAATTTAGATGTGACCAATCACTAGAAAATTTTAAGTTTGGTGCCAGAAAGCCTGTCCTAGGAACCTAAGTTAGTAATTGTTTCCCGCACGGACATTTTTACATGACGCACACTGGTACGGACTGAATGCTATTCACCGTTTATGCTGCAGGTTATGCTCTGCAAGTGCGTTTATGTTATACAAGTGAGTACATATACATGTTTGATTCTAATTATTATATGTCATGCATGTTATTGGTCACTTTCAGTGTTTATGACGATCGTTTTCCCGTTAATTTCGGCCGTAATTTGCCGATCTAATTTGCTGAGTCATCGCCCTCCACACTAGTGCGAATGCGGCGAGTGTTTGTTTACGTAACGATTTATAGTGCCCTGTTATTTAGTTTACTGTTGTATTACAGTTCATTTCATTGCTGTAGCAGGCGGAAATACAGACTTTGTCATATATATCTTGTATTGTGTTAGTTAATATTTCTCAGTGTGTTAGTACAATAAGACACAAATGTTAGATGAATATTTTTGGTAAATTATTTCTCTGTATTTCCTTTTATAGACCACACACATTCTTTGCAATATCTCCAGTGCATACCTCAGCTGCATATTCAGGACAGAAAATAAATGCTCATCAGAAAGAATCTCTTCTCCAATACATTTTATGGTCCTTCGAGCCGGATGAGAGCAATAATACACCAATATGGATCCAGCAAATGATGACGCATCAGAGACAATGGACAGACCACGCCGTAAGACTAATCTCCCTTCTCACCTGGACGATTATGAGGTTGGCTATCGACCCACTAATGACCCTCCTCCAAAAGCTTCTTCCCACTGTCCCAGTAAGGCAAGAAGCAGCTTGAGAATAATCATAGCGGTATAAGCTCTCACTCCAGGACAAGTAGGCGATCTGTCACCTCCACAGGCGTTTATCTTCCACCTGAGCTCTCCAGCGTTCAGACTGCTATATTGGAGGAGAACATTAAACAAAGGCAGTTAGACAGTCTTCGTCAGCAGGTTGCAGAGGACTCATTGGCTGATGTAGAATACCAGCGGCTACAGGCACAAGCTAAAGAAGCCCAGCAAGTTCAAGAGGAAGCTCTCAGAGCAAACGAAACCTTATTAAAGCAGCTAGAAAGACAGCGTAAGCTGCAACAAGCAGAAACTGAGCTTGAGGTGTATAAGCTTGTGTCCTCTATGCTCGTTAAAGACTCTGGTTCGACCACTCCTGTCCATACAAGCTCACCCGGCAACCATTTGTCTCTATCTCAGCCTGTATGTGTTGATCAAACCATGAGTTCATCTCATCTCTCATCCTCTTTCCAGCAGCCCGCTACTCAGTCACCTGCTGTGACATCAACAATACAGACTTGTCATGCAGAGCAGGGTATTTGTGATGACTCCTGGGTGTCTCAGCCATCATTTAGACCTCTGCAATTGACAGCTGAGTCTAAAGCCTGGTTTATACTTCTGCGTCAAGTGACCGGCGTAACTTACGGCGCGGGCAACGCGCGTAGCTGTGCATTTATACTTCTGCGCGCTGTCTCTGTTGGTCTGCATTAACAATTCCGAAACGCTAGTTGGCAGTGAGGTGTAAATGTTCCTCTGTGTCGAGTTTCTTCGCTTCTGTTTTGCTTTTCCTGAACACTTCCTGGTTGTACAAGTGACTCAAACTCGCTCATTTTGAGGCAGGAACCGGCGGACATGCAACAACTTTAACTATGAGGTAAACACAAAACAAAACTTTCCATCCGGAGCTCCTTCACGGAACTCCACACTTGTAAACTATCGCTCGCGCCAATCGCGCGGCTCTCGGTCCCGTCCAGACTTGTCAGCACTACCAAGCTGACCAATCACAGAGCTTGCACTACGTGTCGTTGCGACGTGTGGTTACAATTTTTGAGAGGTGCACGTCAGTGACGGCCACAGCGAAGGGCTATGCATCAGCGCCGTAGCATACGCCGGGGTTTGACGCAGAAGTATAAATCAGCCTTAAAGGTGCACCATTTACTGCAGTGCCACAAGGAGGCTCATCGCCGACTGCCCCTATAACTATGCCAGTTCGAACTGTGTTATCTGCAACAAATGTGATATCCAAACCACATTTAAGAGCTCCAGTCATGTCCACTTCTGCACTTCCCTTACATACAAGCATGCAGTCTATGCCACCACCGCCTACCACAGCCACCCCGCAGCTGCCTACGTCATATACTGTACCACAAACTGTAATACCTCCAGTGACAGCACATGCACGTCTGTTACAGCCTCCAATCACCAGCCACCCGCCACCAGTTTTGCAACCTACCAGCCTTAGCTATGTGCAGCCACCACCATTCATGCACAACAGTCACCCTGCACATATGGGTACAGAGCTACTGTTTGCATCGGCCTGCGGCATCCCACAGCCTAAGTTACCAGTGTTTGAAAGCGGTAACGAGAGTGACTTTGCCATGCTAAAATTAACATTGCACAATTTGTTGACTAATCACAACCATCTCAGTGAGCAATACAAGTACCATGTCTTAATAAGCCACTTAAAACATCCCAGTGCTCAGCAGCTGGCCAAAGCCTACATGTATCATCCTCGTCCTTATTCTGCTGCACTACAGGCTCTCCAAGACAAGTATGGCCAACCACGACAGCTTGTCCAGTCAGAATTGGGTGTAATGATGAGCACACCACCAATCAGAATGGGTGATGCGGATGCTTTCGACAACTTTGCCTTATCTGTTTAGTCGTTGGTGGGCATGCTAAGGACACTTGAGGGCCAGAATGGTTACGAGCTCATGTGTGGCTCTCATGTCGATCGCCTGTTAAGTAAACTGCCATCTGCCTATCGTGATGGTTTTGTTGAATACTGCCTAAGCAGGGGGATTCTCCAAACAGGTACAGATAGGACCTACACACTTCCTGATCTAGCCACATGGTTAGAGATCAAATCTTAAGCAAAACACATCTCCAATCGAGCCACAACTTTGTTCCAGAGTGAATTATCCAAGCCTCATGGTAGGGTCACAATGCCTACTCGCCCAAAGGAGCGGGCAACACCAGTACTCTTGGCCAATGAGAGGGGCACACCCTCCCACTGGATTTGCAGCCCAGAAACCTAATACAAAGCTGAAACCATACTGCCCCCATTGTGACAACAGGGACCATTACCTCAACTCTTGTGACCAGTTCAAGAAGTTGACCTCAGATCAAATTGTTACTTGGATTAAAGAGGGAAACCGTTGCTGGAGATGTGGCAGGACACATGCAGTAGAGACCTGTAACCTTAAGCGCCCATGTAAGGTCTGCAAAGAACTTCACCTCACAGTTCTACATAACACTATTAATGACACGTCCAAGGCTGTACTTATGGTGAGCATGCCATCCACCAGGCTTTACCTCAACAGACCTCACCGTTCACCAAAAGTTATGTTGAAAGTAGTTAAAGTCCTTCTCCACCATGGCCACCGCACTATGAAAACTCATGCAGTCCTTGACGACGGGTCAGAGAGGACAATTGTATTACAGCCAGCAGTATGGCAGCTTAAGTTAACCGGGACCACTGAATTGCTTCCCCTACAGACAATTCAACAGTGCCACACAGAGCTTGAAGGGCGGTCAATCTCTTTTGAAGTGTCCTCTGTCACAAAGCCCATGGTAAAGTTTGCTATACGCAACGCATTCACTGCAACTGGTTTGTGCCTGGCAGAGCACAACTACCCAGTTACTGCACTCCAGAATGCCTATCGACACTTGAAGGATCTGCCACTGCCTCATGTGGACAGGGTAAAGCCACTGCTCCTTATTGGATCTGACAATCCTCACCTCCTGACACCCATCCAGCCCGTCTGCGAAGGCCCAGTTGGGGGGCCCGTTACGGTCTGCACGCAACTCGGATGGTGCCTCCAAGGCCCGATGAGTCCTATGCAGTCCTCACGAGGAAAGCAGCAATGTCTTAACATCATGACAGGTCCAGCTTGTGATAAACTTATCCATTATGTAAAAAGACTCTGGCAAGTTGACACCCTTCCATACAATGAGAAAATGATCACCAGGTCTAAGCAAGATAAGGAAGCTTACACCATTCTTCAGGATTCTACCATCAGAGTAAATGTGGATGGTGTTCAACGCTACGCTACACCCCTGCTGAGACGGACACCTGTGAGTTTGCTCCACGCAGAAAAGGATGCAGTTCTACCCAGTTTACGCAGCACAGAGCGCAGGCTGTCACGGGATCCGGAGAGGGCTAAAGCATACTGCACTGAGATCCAGAAGTTGGAGGCAGCTGGATATGTTGCCAAGATACTGCGGAGGAAGGCAACAAGAGTATCGAGTCTTGGTATATTCCGCATCATGTAGTACATCACAACAACAAAGACCGTATTGTCTTTAACTGTTCCTTTCAACATCAAGGACAGTCATTGAACAGTCAGCTACTGCCTGGACCAACTTTGGGACCATCGTTATTGGGAGTCCTCCTGAAATTCCGGCAGCACGCTGTTGCTGTAAGCGGGGACATAAAAGGCATGTTCCACCAGGTACGCCTGCTGCCCTAAGACAAACAGGTGCTTCGTTTCCTATGGAGGGACATGTGCAGGGATAGAGAGCCTGATATATACGAACGGCAAGCACTTCCCTACGGGACTACCTGTAGTCCATGTTGGCCATCTTTGCCCTCCAACACCATGCACAAGGACACAAAGGTGACCTGCCTAAGTTAGTTAACATAGTGGAGAATTTCTTTTATGTTGATAACTGTCTCTACAGCACACCAACAGCCAATGAAGCTAAGGACGTTGTGGATGGACTGCGTCAGTTGCTGGCTTAGGGAGGCTTTGATTTAAGACAACGGGCCTGTAATGTACCATCTGCGATCCAGCATCTTCCCGTGGAGGCCCTGTCTACCAACAGTGAAAGATTGTTAACCAAAGCTAGCGCAGACCTGCAAGAACCCACTCTTGGCCTATGGTGAAATTGTCTCAATGATTCTCTGGGTTACAATTTACGATCTACAGAGCCATTGGAGCCTACTATGAGGAACATGTACAAGACGTTGGCCAGTTAGTATGATCCTTAAGGATTTATTATCCCGTTCACTACAAGGGCTAAAGTCCCTTAAAGTGATTGAGCCTGCACAGCTGCGGAATAAGTGGTTAACCTGGGTAGGAGAAATTCCAACACTCCTTCAGTTGCAGTTCCTTCGACTATACACATCAGTCTGGCCTGATAATCCTTCTGTCACTCGAGAGCTACACATCTTTTGTGACGCATCTGAAAGAGAGTATGGGTCAGTGGCTTATTTACGTACTTCTGATGATTTTGGACATGTTGCCGTCACCTTTGTCTTGGCCCGATCGAGAGTGGCTCCCAGAAAATGCCTATCCATGCCTCGTTTGGAGCTAAGTGCAGCACTGACCGACGCCCAATTAGCCCAAGTAATACAAAATGAGGTAACTCTTCCCATCGATTCAGTAACTCTCTGGTCTGACTCAACAACTGTGCTGTACTGGTTGATCGCAGAGTCTTGCTGCTACAAGGTGTTTGTTGGCGGACGTGTAGCTGAAATACAGACTCTCACTGAGACAGCTGAATGGAGGTATGTTGATTCGGCCAACAACCCGGCTGACCATATCACAAGAGGTCTAACTTAAGCGGAACTAACAGGCCCTCACCAATGGAATTCATGACCATCCTTTCTCCTTAAATCTGTTGACCAATGGCCATCCATTCCCAAGCTAGTGGTAGAACCAGAACTCAGTGAATTAAAGAAAGCTGCCTTCGTTGGTACTATTTCAGTGAATAATCCTTCACTCCCAGACCCAACTCAGTTCTCTACATGGCAAGAACTTGGTTAGGCCACTGTTAGGTCCCTGCACGGGGCGGCTACTGCTGATGATAACTTCTCTAGTGACGCAGCTGACTATATTGAAGCTGAGAAACTCCTCCTGGCACAGGCTCAAAGTGACTCGTTCCCATACGAGGTCAAGGCTCTGAAGACTGCCCAATCTCTACCTTCTGACAGTCGTTTGATCTCTCTTGCCCCCGAGTTTGATGAAGCCACAGGTATCATCAGAGTAGGTGGAAGATTACGTCTGGCTGACAGCCTAGAATTGGATGCTATCCACCTAATTGTGTTGGATCCTGGCCACCCTGTCACCAAGCTGTTAATTAAGGAGACAGATCAGCGACTCAGGACGAACGGGTCCTAGCTGAACTGCGCCGCCAGTATTGGGTATTGAGAGGCAGAGAAGCAATTCGGAAACATCAGCACACATGTAGAGACTGTCAGTTCTGGAGTGCTAAACCTCAGACACCCCAAATGACTGATCTTCCATCCAGCAGACTGCAACTTTACAAACCCCCGTTCTACTCTACAGGGGTAGATTGCTTTGGCCCCTTAACGGTTAAAGTTGGTCGTCGCCAAGTGAAGAGGTGGGGAGTCCTCTATAAATGTATGACATCCAGGTGTGTGAATCTAGATCTACTGGAACAACTAGACACTGATGCATTTCTGCTTTCTCTGCGTCGCTTCATCGCAAGACGAGGCAAGCCCATGGAATTGCTATGTGACAATGGCACTAATTTCATTGGAGGGGATCGAGGATTACGAGAGACCTTCAATGCCATGGCACCAAAGCTTCAGGAGCAGCTTGCGGAGCAAAGGATTCGATTTCGCTTTAACCCAGCAAGTGCTCCTCATTTCGGGGGAACCTGGGAGTGTGAGGTCAAATCAGTGAAGTCCGCTTTACGTGTCATCCTGCGAGAGCAGTCAGTGCCAGAGGCAGTATTGCAAACCCTGTTAGTGGACGTGAAAGGCATTCTGAATTCCAAGCCACTTGGCTACATATCCTTTGACGTCGCAGACTTGGATCCAGTGACTCCCAACCTGCTCCTTATGGGCTGACGTGATGCCTCACTTCCTCAAGTTCTGTATGACTCCAACAACTTGCTCCGCAGACGCAGATGGAGACATAGCCAGGTGTTGGCTAATAATTTCTGGACTGCCTTCATCCGCCATCATCTCCCAAGTCTACAGGATCGCCAGAAGTGGAGGAAGGATGGCAAGGAACTTACCGTGGGCCAAGTAGTTCTTATTGTTGATCCACAACTCCCACGTGCTTTATGGCCTGTAGGAACAGTGTCTGAAACGTTACCTGGAGCTGACGGTAAAATTCGTACCGTTAGAGTTAAAGTTAAGGAAAAAACTTACACTCGTCCAGTTGTGCGCTTAATTCTACTTCCACACTTAGAGGATAATGTTTCTGACACCGCAGACAAACTTTCTTAAAATGTACAATTATCCAGACAGATAATTGGGGGCGGCTGTGTCAGAAAGCCTGTCCTAGGAACCTAAGTTAGTAATTGTTTCCCGCGCGGACATTTTTACATGACGCACACCAGTACGGACTGAATGCCATTTACTGTTTATGCTGCAGGTTATGCTCTGCAAGTGCGTTTATGTTATAGAAGTGAGTACATATACATGTTTGATTCTGATTATTATATGTCATGCATGTTATTGGTCACTTTCAGTGTTTATGACGATCGTTTTCCCATTAATTTCGGCCGTAATTTGCAGATCTAATTTGCTGAGTCATCGCCCTCCACACTAGTGCGAAGTGCGAATGCGGCGAGTGTTTGTTTACGTAACGATTTATAGTGCCCTGTTATTTAGTTTACTGTTGTATTTCAGTTCATTTCATTGCTATAACAGGCGGAAATACAGACTTTGTCATGTATATCTTGTATTGTGTTAGTTAATATTTCCCAGAGTGTTAGTATAAGACACAAATGTTAGATGAATATTTTTGGTAAATTATTTCTCTTTATTTCCTTTTGTAGACCACACACACATTCTTTGCAATATCTCCAGTGCATACCTCAGCTGCATATTCAGGACAGAAAATAAATGCTCATCAGAAAGAATCTCTTCTCCACTCTTGATTTTCTAACCGAAATCAGATCCATATTTGGCCGCCTCAGCCAGCTAAAATCTTGAATGTAGTGGGACTTCACTACATTTGGCCAGAATTTTATTTTATTTCTTTTACAGTGAACTTGTCCATATTTTAAAGTAATTGCTGTTTCCATCAGTCCTTTTTATTTTCATTTCATGTGCCATCAAATGTACAGCAACAAATGCACTAAATCAGAAAGTTGATTTCACAGAAAATGTCTGTAAACACAGTGCTCTGTCAATGAATCATTAACAGTTTGATCAATGAAAGGATTTTTTTTAGCTTATCTTTTCTGATGATCTAGATCCGGGGAGCCCAAACTTTTTCGTATGAAGTGCCAAAAATCATTGAGAACTGTGGGTCAAAGGTAAATATACCAAACTATATTACATTAAAGTTAGATAGATAATCTCTAGCTTTTTTCATATTTAAAAATAAATAGAATAGATTACTTTAAATTGTATTAAATAATGCAGTTTATTTTTACAATTATAACTCATTACAATAAAACCCAAAGCAATCACATAACAGTGGAATCAATGCTGAATACACTAGTCTTTACTTTCATTAGCTCACTGATATCTATGATATATAAAGTTATATACATTATATTCATTTAAGAAAAGTCTGTTTCACTTAAAACATTTTATTAAAAGATTTAATTTCAGCTTAGCAAAATAATTTTTTCCCCTTATTTTGGCCATCTCTGATCTAGATTGTGGGTGGTCACATGGATAGGAAGTGACAGGAACTTGAGCGTACGTGTGCAAAACAGTCACAGACCCTGAGCACATCAACATGGTTTTGAAACGGATTACAGACTATCTTTTGTTTTGGACTTTTATTCATCTTCCAAATACAGGTAATATACTTCATTTTTTTGAGTTTACTGTACTCTTTTAGTTAAAGCAAAGAAGCTGCATGTGATGTCATGATGTACATTACAAATAACAACTAATAATAAATAAAGGTCCCGGTGAGAGGCTTATTCATTTTATGTCTGGTTGGTTTTCTGTGATGTATTTTACAAAAAAAATGTGATGTATGTTTTGAATTGTCTGAAGGGAGCATCCTGGTGTTTGTAACATTGAAATTTGTCAATCCACAGATGCAAAGAAAGTTATCAAAGCAGTGGAAGGAGCCACTGTCCATCTGCCCTGCCATTTACCTCCTGTAGAGAGTCAACAAGTTACAGTAGAGTGGACCATAAATACACACAGTAACAGTTCTATTTGTGCATGGATCACTGATAATAACTCTGTACACCCCTTAAAAGATTGCTTTCCTCATTTTACATTAACCAGTAAGCCTATTAGATTAGAGATAAAAAATGTTCAGCCTGGTGACTCTGGTAAATACAGCTGTAAAACAACAAGAGTAATTCCACCTCCGTCAGTGGAAGAAAGCTCATCTGTGATTCTCCGAGTCACAGATGATTTTGCTGTTCATTAGTGATTCTGAATTGTCTGTATGTTGAATATCATCTTACTTTGATGAATCTAATGTCCAGGTCTGTCCCTGAAGCCACTGAACAGCACTAATGACAGCTGTGTTCATCTGCTCTGCTCTCTGGACTCTGATCTGGCCAACTTCACCTGGAGCCGAGGAGGTCAGATGTTACCACATGTGTCCACATTTAATGCTGATAATAGTGAACTGCAGCTGTGCAAACCTGACTGGAGTGAAGGAGACACAATCACCTGTCACGTCAACTACTCAGGAACCCAAACTCAAAAAAGCATCAAATTCAGCAGATCAGAAAATGCTAACAGAGGTGAGTCAATTGAAAAACATATACTGAATCACTTTAGTAGCAAAATTTCATTATTAATCAGTTCACTGAAATGGTTCAATTGATTTTTAGATGTTATTTGTTTATTAATAAAATCTAAATTATTTAATTTAAAAAAAGTATAAATCAAACATTCCATGAGGGTAACCTATGGCCCATCTGTGGTCCGTCTTTCCCAGGATACCAGGATTTTCCAGCTGTTTTTGTGACGTTGATGAGCATCTTTATCAGTTTCATCTAAATATTGTTCTGCATTTTACAATGTAAGTTCTCCACAGATATCTACTTTACCAAATTAATAATTTATTATATTATATTATAATTTAATATAAAATAATAATATTATAGTTCCTCTAAGATCTGTACTCCAGCATCATTTACTCTCCCTCATGGGGTTTTACACCATTATGAGTTTATTTCTTTTGTTGAACACAAGATATTTAAAAAAAATAGCAATTGAACTATCATTTTAATTTGATTTAAACGTAAAATTCATCCATAAACCATTCACATTCTTTCAACATTGTACAAAAGCGTGGTAATTTAATGTCTCTAAGTCACTGACAAATCTGTCATTCTGCAGACAAAACTCAGACCTGCCATCCTGAACCATCAACACCGGAAGAAGGAAGAGAGGACACACAACACAATAAGATCCCTCTTTGTCCTTTAGCAAAATACTTTTAACTTACTACTTTAAATTTTACTATGACCCTTTAGACTATAATTTCTTTAAAATTGGCTGTTTTGTGTTGAGTCATTTCCAAAGAATTACATTGATTTTCATTGACTTTGCTGTTAAAATCTACTCAGTGATCATAAATAACTTCTGTTATATGTAATGAGTATCATTAAATTATGAGGATTTGTTGTTTCACAGATGAGAAACTTTAGAATAAAATGAAAGCTTCATGGTTCCTTACAAGCATCCTAAAATAAAAGTTCTGTCATCATGTACACACTTCATAGTAAGTTTCCATTTGTTAGTCAGCTTTTAATAACTGTGATGTTCATTTCTTAGTTGATGCTTAATACCAAAAAAGTTCAGTGGTATTTTTTTTTTAATTAACATTAACATAATTTCTTTGACAAATGTAGCTGTTTCTCACTGTTTATGGTGTTAAATGATGAGACCTTACTGTAAAGTTCACTTTTGTACTTTATTTAACTTTGCTTAAAATCTTTTTAAAAATTTAGTGTATGCACAATGAAAGATTTAGATTTTGTTGTTGTTATCACTTTTACTGTTAAAATACATGTTAAAGTAACCCTGTTTTGAAGGTTACTTTGATACTATCAAAATACAATTATTGCAGTAAGATCATTTGACATACTGTGATGTGTCTACTTGCATTACTCTTTGTGAGGTTACAGCTAATACAATAGGTTAATAAAATGTTTTAGGTAGGTAATGTTTACATCAAAAACTTAATGTGCTTCATTTTTACAGTTTGTCCTTAAAGCACTGTTGACCTTTACTGTAAATTATGCAGTAAATGATTGTAAAATAGCCATTGTTTTGCTGTAATAAAAGAAAACTGTATTTTACAGTAAAATAAGTAGGATTTGTATGAAATTGTGTAGTGTAAAAACAGTAATTTACTTTTGATTTACTTTACAGTAATTTACTTTATGTACTCGTTACAGGTACCATAACAATAAATGGTAAACTACTGTTCAACCATTACTGTCCCATCTACTCTGATGCTTTAAGTTGCTATTTATAGAGACGTGCATTAATCATAAAGTGGAAAACCATGATTTAGGCAATAACACGCACATACACACTTTTTGAGTGTGCTCCATTCTCTGTCTATCAATTCAGCTGCAGAATCTGATATGTTTTAAGCCTTAAATAAGAATCTACAATGAACGTGTTCAAATGTTTTTGAGGGTTTTCTAAAATAAATGTGTGTATTAAGTTATGTTGCTGTTATCTTGAAACGTGTACTTGAAAGCTACATTGTCAGCTAGTTAGCCTCGCCTCATAAAACTTCTTACATTTCTTTAATTTAAGTATATTATTAATTGGAGATTATATATTGCCATAATGTACAGATGCAAACAGTGTAATGTGTCTCTCTGGCAACCAAGCATAATTTATGAGCATATTCCAATCTCCTTAGTTAGGTATATGCACTGAAATCATCACAGGTAATCACAGACAGACGATACATTTGTCCATCCACACGCAAACCTCCACTATCAGGTTCCATGTTGTGATTTTTTTTGCTAAGTATTTTTCAGAGCTGTGTTTCCACTTATGAATTCTTTTAGTTTCTCTGGGTTGCTGACTTGTACATGATGAATAAGATGAATATATTTTGTCAGTGTTTAATGTGGCTTTTTAGTGCACTTAATATTTTACCAAGGGAAATCTCTATTTTTTCATTAAGATTTAAAGCTATTTCTAATTTAGCTATTTCATTTATTTAAATTCTTATATGAAATGTTATCCCATAGAATTGTACATCTGTTTTTCCAGGTTTAGTAATGCTGTATATATTTCGATTAAAATGTCATGCAAACTTCCTGACTATGTCAACTTGCATTTTTAAGTCAGTTCAACAATCATACCCGTCATAGTCAGGCCTGGTTCTCATCTCTCACAATCCTCCCAATCACATTTACCTGAATTCTGATTAGTCCCGCACCTGCACGTCATCATCAACCATTACCCTAGCACCATATAAGCACGTATCACTCAGCACTCAGTGTCCAGCCTCGCTGCAACAACGAAGGACTGTACTCTTTGTACGGTCATTGTCTACACTGTAAAAAAAAAAATGCAGAGTTCCACACTAATTATTTATGTTGTCCCAACACAAATTAATTACATTACCTTAACATTTTTAACAAATTTATGAGGATGGAACATAAAAAAATTAAGTTGTCCCAATGAAATCTTTAGAATAGTGTTGTTTCAGCTCATTTTAAATAATTAGTTTGAATATCAAATATATATATATATATATATATATATATATATATATATATATATATATATATATATATATATATATATATATATATTTTGAGTGATACTTCAATCAAAGTTACTCACCTTTCCCTGTTCCTTATGATCTCTAGTGTCTGTGTCTTTTTCCTAGTGTTGGACTGTCCTGGTTCCCAGTCTGGTTGCTCTTTGGTCTCCACGTCTGGCTCTGGGATTCCAGGACATGTTGGGCTTTCAGGAAATGAGCGAGCTGAAGATGCTTTGAAGCAAGTTTTTAACAAATACCAAATTCCTCCATCAGAGATGAGACCTTTTTAATCAACATTTACATTTTAAATAAGTGGCCAGAGGAGTGAGATGCATTGGAAAATAATAAATAACATGAAATACAACCTGAAATCTCACAGAATTTAAGACATTTTAAGACTCAATTTGATCAAGTGATTTTTAACAGATGTCGTATTGGACATCCAAGATTAACTCACGCCTTTTTACTTAAAGATGAAGACCCCACTCAATGTTTGTGCTGCAAAACTCCCCTTACTGTAGAACAAATTTTATTTGACTGTTCTGCTTTTAATGAATCCAGAAGACTTTTTTTTTTATGAAATGAACTCTCTTAAGGAAATTTTTAGTAAAGTGACACCAGAATTTTTTTTAGAATTCTTATTATGTATGAAACACAAAAAAATCTTATTTAATTTGTGTATTCATTTGTTTGTTGTTCTTGATTGTTTTTTTTTTTAATATTGAAATATTCTTGCCATGAAAATAGCCTGATTGACAGCAGTAGTAATGCTTATAATCATATTAACAAGACAGGACCTGCTCAAAGCAACTGGGATTAAAAGACCTGTTCAGCTATTTTTGTGATCATCAATCATCCTCAAATGTGATCAAGAATGAGTTTTACACGTTTTTAAAACTGTGCATTTTTGTAATAAATTACAGCGATTTTACCATCTTCATCACCAAAGCCACGTCAAAACAATTATAAAAGAAAACGCTTTAATCCCAGTTTGTGGACATTAAATGAGGTACATTTTGTACATTAACAAACCAGATGTCTGTACAGCAGTGGATTTTAACGTGTATCCGATCACATTTGCCGTGCAAAAATTTCTGTGTGTGCATGAACTATGTAAGGACATAGTTTGTGTCTCATCATTGCAAATTCATAACAAATACATCAAATAATCATTGGTAAAGTTCTTACTGTAGTATTTCTTACAAACGTTACGTGAGATCTGCTTCCTTCATGTCTGTCACCGTCTTGTTATGTGATGCAGCTGAGGTGGAGAATGAGGTACACTCTTGATATGCTGGTTGGAACGGTGGACGAGGAGAAATAGCATTAAAGGCACAGGCAACAAAAACAGCTACATCGTGTTCATCGTGTTTTTACAGTGTATGTACTAAAAACAGGCAACGCAGTGGCGCAGTAGGTAGTGCTGTTGCCTCGCAGCAAGAAGGATCGCTGGTTTGTGCCACGACTGGGTCAGTTAGCGTTTCTGTGTGGAGTTTGCATGTTCTCCCTGTGTTCGCATGGGTTTCCTCCGGGTGCTCTGGTTTTCCCCACAGTTCAAAGACATGTGAATTGGGTAGACTAAATTGTCCATAGTGTGTGAGTGTGTGTGTGTGTGTGGATGTTTCCTGAAGATGAGTTGCAGCTGAAAGGTCATCCGCTGCATAAAACAAAATGCTGGATAAGTTGACGGTTCATTCCGCTGTGGCGACCGCAGATTAATAAAGGGACTAAGCCTAAAAAAAGAAAATGAATGAATGAATGTACTAAAACAAAGTTTAGAATACAGTATGTACATTATAAAAGAACATAATGCTTGAACTGTAAGTGGATTTTTGTGCTTTTCATTTCAACTTTACCAGAGAATATTGTGTGGTAAGATTTTGCGAGCTGGTGTATAATTCTGTGATTATTTATTCACACTTGTTTTGTTTGAAAGTAAAGAGGACACAGAAAATTTTATGATATATAATTTATTTAGAGGATATTAAAATTACAATATAACTAGTACAAATAAAAGTCACTAAAAGTGCAGGGAGAGATTTTGATAATGCCCCAGCATTTCATCTAAGACCCACAGATATGAAGGCCTGTTCAATAATTATCATATAAACCACCACACAACAGTAAATAGTAAATACAATGAGAACACAGTTACTTTATTGATAAAAGTGCTTGCTTACAGTTTTTTTCAGTAAATAAAGACATTTTTAAAAATACAGAGCTTTACATTTTAGCAAAACCACATAACACCCTGTAGCCTACTTCACAAAGGCCTTCTAACCCATCCGGCTTCAAGCATAGGTTATGAACGCAGCTGATGTTAGTTCTCATAGATACATTCTTCTGTTTGTGGTTTATTATTGGACTGTACATTCTGACGAGACATGGCGAAACTGAAGTTCTCGTAAACTTTGTTGCTGAAGACTAAAGATCCACTTTCATCTCGCTTTCGGCCTGCACAAACAAACAAAAAAAACACACAATTAGACAGTGAATTTAAAATATTCTACTGAACATTAAACAGAAACTTATTGGTTCATTTTCACAGATAACTATTTCAGAGTAATTTAGCATATTTATATAAGCTAATTTATTGGTTAGTTAACCCAGGCTCATTGGAAATCCATGCTTCATCCTACATTTTTGCAAAGTGCAAAATGCATTGCTCTGGGAACATTTCATTAAATGTGGGTAGTGCTGTCACCTCACAGCAAGAAGGTTACTGGTTCGAGCCCCGGCTGGGTCAGTTGGCATTTCTGTGTAGAGTTCGCATGTTCTTCCCATGTTCGTGTGGGTTTCCTCTGGGTGCTCCGATTTCCCCCACAGTCCAAAGACATGTGGTATTTGTGAACTGGGTAAGCTAAAATGTTTGTATAGTCTATGTGTGTATGTCCTGGTCCTTCAGTTTGGGGTTGAGCGTTGGGCTAACAACTCACTTCATAAAAAAATGTTAAGAAACACCAATATGGTGTGGCTAAATATCAACTTTGAAATAAATGGCATAGGGAGTAAGCATATTTTGTTTTATGTTTCAGCTACATGTTCACAAAAAGACAGGACTTGTTGTACAGACCACCCAGTCAACTACTGACCCCAACCCAACCAATAGTGTTTTCAAAAAGCAAACATAAAAGACTTGTGACCCCATAGTTTTGCCTTGATTTTACATTGCTTTTATCTCTTTTGTAGAACTGTGCCACAGCGGATTCAAACCCAAATACTATGCATCACAAGTACAACACCGAGCAAAATAAGCTGTCAAGAAAATTGACCACATCAGAAAAGATGAAATAAAGTAATAACTCAACAGAAACAGTATAGTTTAATTAACTAGCAGTGTGAGTGCAAATAACAATGTGATATGGATTTTAAACAATAGTTCAACAATCAACATTTTACATGCAATATTATCTAATTTTTGGGTGATCTATATGTAGATGTGTGAGACAATTGAGATATGAATATAAGTGAGTACTCAATTAACTTGTTTTGTGCTATTTATTTGGTGTTGTGTAAAGCAGGGGTTCCAACATTTTTCAGCCCGCAACCCCCAAAATAACAATGTCAGTGACTCGCGACCCTCAAATTCCTCAGAGGTGTAAAATATAAATATGTAAATGTAGTGCACACAACAATATGCCTCTATAAACACAAAAAACAGTTTGGCAACACAATCTCACAGCATATCTTTTGATTT